AAACCCGCCTGGATGCCACCCTGTGCCACGTGCTCTGGGTGTCCCTGCTGGAGCAGGGGTTGGACTAGATGATCCATAGAGGGCCCTGGCAACCTCAACCACTCTGTGATTCTGTGATACTTGAGCTTCAGGTCACTCACACTTTCAAGTTTCAGACCAAATCTTCCCTTGCATTCCCTTTCCCAACTGCTATTTAAACTTGAATTCTCAGCATGCAAGCTTGTCAACTAACGAGGCGCTGGGGAGCGCAGAAAACAGCTCTTGTTTCATGAAAGAAACCTGTGTGCAGCGCCGGGTGCAGAGATGTCCTGTGCCTCAGAGATTAATTCGTGTTGCAACCAGTGCCCAGAACTGGGACTGCAGGAGCTGTCTTTAGTTGCTAGTTGTGTATCTTGAAAACGGACCAAACCCCAAAGTGCTAGCCCATATCAGAGAGTCACAGAGCGGCTGAGGTTGGCAGGGACCTCTAGAGATCATGAAGTCCAACCCCTGCTCCAGCAAGGACACCTGGAGCACGTTAGAGCACTTTCATTTTCCCCCTGCCAGTTTAAAATTAGGTGAAATAAGTTAGTATTTGAAGTATTGCATCAAAGGCAATAAGATTTATGGATGGTCAGTGATTACCAGTTACACAGCCCCACTTTTGCTAAGGGGGTTCCACGCTGTGTTTGTTTGTTTGCCTTTTTTTTTTTTTTTTCTCCAAAGTTGACAACATGTAGCTTCTCTTGAAGGTAACTCTGACTAAGGGACTTCCTGTGAATCAGAGATTTCATTAATAACTATTCTCAACATGTACTGTATGAGAGCTCTTCTTTCAGTAGATTACAGTTTCAACTTAATCTCAAGGTTTTACAGACGCTGTGATCCTCTCTTCACCAAGAGCTTTCACTAAGTTTATCACACGCAGAAGATATTAGGACATGCACATTATGAAATAATCAATTCTATTGTGTATATTTACAATTTTTAGAGAAAATTAACTGCTTTTTGAAGTGTTGATGATAATACAGTGATTTTGTTTTTGCACTCTAACATCCTTTCCCAATTTCCTTTGCCCTGTTCTGGGCAGCAAGGAGGGAGAAGTGCTTCTGTATTATTGTTACTGCGAAGTGGAGGACCCAGAGAAGCTCTGTGCTTGGCAGAAGGCTCTGTGCCAGCACCTGCATCTGACGGGCAAGGTAAGGCTCTGCGTGTCAGAAAAGCGTTGCCTTTGCTGCGTGCAGGGTGGGCGTCACGAGTGGGGGGTGACAGTCTGGATCGAAGGACGGGATAGCACCGCTTGCTCCTGCCAAGCCACTTGGTTCTCCTCATGCCCTGCAGGCTGGCCCAAGGAGACCTGTGGCTCTGTGGGTGAGTGGTAGCCTGGTGGAGCTGCTTTTCCTGAGCTGTTTGTGGAGAGAAAGGTTTTTTCACGAAATGGCGTCAGAACAAAAGGCTACTCTATCTTTCACTTGTCTTGCAAAGGAGTCTCTCTTTCTGCAACCTAAATTTTAACCCAGCTGCTCTGCTGACAGGCATCTTAACCTTAGCAGGAGCTTTTCCAGTTCTGAGCAGCTGCCCCATTTCCTTCTCTTGGGTTTTCAATTCCCATATTCTGTCCTTCTAGTGCCTGCTCTGTTGCTTGTGTTTCTTATTGTCAGGACTTTGCTTCCTCTTTGGATGCTTTGGGAGATATTCTGAGCATTCTTGTCAACCACTTGTGACTTAACTCCAGAGAAATTACTGTATAGTCAGTAATTTCTTTGGTACAGGATGAACTCAAAGCATTATATTCTCTGTCAAAGTTCATACAATTTTTATTACTTTTTGTTGTGTGTATATATATGTGTATATATATATATATACACACTTTTTTGAGATGGGAAAGAAATTTCTCATGATATTCTGACTTCACTAATAAATATGCATCTTGTCTGTGGCTTTTTCCCAGGGCTGGTGCTGTTCATAGTAAAACATATTCAATGTTCTGCCTGTGCAAAGCCAGCCTTCCTTATTCTGAAGGAAAGAAAGGAAGGTACCTTACTCTGAGACTTGTGTAGTAGACTAAGGAAAATGTCCTAATGCATTAACTCTTTTGTTTGAGTTTGGTTGGTTGGTTTGTTTTCAGATATCTTAACCTCTTCTTGTTTTCCAAGTTAGGTACAGCGTTTGCCTTTCCAACAAGTTTTTTTCTTAGTTCTCTTTAATTCAGTCATTTTTTCCCAACATCTTGGGTTTTCTGTCAGTGCCCTTATATAAAATGACTCTCACTGGGACTTATTATTACATGCAATATACATATTCACATTTTCTTTCCAGCTACCTGAGTCACTGGGCCCAATGGCATTGCTCTTCCTTGGGCAGACCTGCTGTGGGAATTTTGACTCTGACTGCAAGATTTGCCTGCTAACTAGTTATCATTTCTCTGCTTACTACACTTTTTTTTTTCCTGACTTTTTTTTTGCTGTTTTTTCTTATGAAAAGGCCCCAAGGTGATTATGAATATTTATTCCAGTTTTTCTTTCAGTATGTTTTTTCCACTCAGCTTCACTATAACTCTCTCCCATTCCTTCCTTCTTCAGTTGCCTCTTTCATGAAGATGCTTGTTTGTCTGCCTTTAGCGACCTGGTCATATTTTGCTAATCTCCCTGTGATCTGTTTCTGCTGTTGCCAGATCATAACCCCAGCTTCTCCTCCTGGCTTCCAGGTACGAGTTGCCTCAGAGGGAATTAATGGAACAGTCGGTGGAAGCAAAGTAGCTACTAATCTCTACATCGAAGTTATGCTCTCCCAGCCGCTGTTCAAAGACATCTTGTGTCGAGATGATTTCAAGGTATGAGAAAGCAGTTTCTGAGGAGACATTTTTAATACAAGATGCTTAATTTGGGGAAAATAGGCTAATCGTTTCTTGGTAGTAGCCCTCTGCCGCTTGAAAGAAAGCACATCAAGCTCTAGCTCTTCTGTTCTGCCACCACAGACCTAAGGAGGGGATTTCTAAACTTGCTTTGTCTGATGTCGCTGTCAGTGAAAGCAGCAGTAGCATTATCAGCTACAAACTTTGGCAGCTATGAGGCTTGCTGCAGAGGAGGAAGTATGCTCCAGCTCCACTATTCATTATCAGATTTTTACTCCAACCTGGCTGCTGAAGTCTAAGCATCGCAGTTTGCACTTATATGTGCAAAATGTTTGCGTTTGTACCTCTTCAGCCTGCTCTGAGATCCTTCCCCAGAAGCCAGCTGGTGTCGTTACATGCAGGCCTTGGTGTCCTTACAGATGCACTGCCAGTTCACAGATCAGATATTTTCTAAAAAAAATACACAGAGTCAGAGAGAGATTTTCCCTACTCTAATTAGTGTCTCACTAGAGGAAGAGTGAGGTGCTACCTTCTGCCTCTCCCTGGGTGTGTGTGCTGGTTGCTGTTTTCAGGTGGTGATGGCAGGTGTAGCTGGCACTGGTATTCTGGAATGTGCTTTTTTTTTTCCCTCTCGTATCACTACGGATATTGCATTCTTTGAAGAACGAAAAAAAAGTGCTGCTTTTACTTAGTATTGTCATCTCTCAGAAACTTCTATTTATAGGTAATATTATATTTTCCGTAAATAACCAAATTAAAGTTAGTAAAACATGTGAAACTAAAATCGCTCTGTAGAACTGCAGTGCTGATACAGCCTGAGCTCTTTAACTGCCTGCTGTGCTTGTCTGAAGGTGATCCAGGCTGTTAGCTATGTGGAAAATCAGGGCAAATCAGGGATGAACTTTTATCTCAGCCTTGGCAAAAGCTCCAGGCCTGCATGATTTTTCTGGGCACCAGAGCTCGTGCATTAGTATATGTTGCTTTGTGTCTCACAGTTCCTCTGTGTGCTGTAGTCACAAGGAAGTGAGGTTTCAGGTTCCTCTTCCTAACGGAGAGGGGCACAGGGATGTGAAAAGTGAGCCTTGAGCTGTGAAAATACTCAACAGCTACTGTAGTTACTGCAGATTGACTTTTAGTCAATTTAGCTCACAGCTTAGCAGTGAGAGCCAGAGCAGCGCTGTACAGCATCACACTCTCACATTTGTTTATGTATTTAGTAGTGCCCAAGTCATGTTTGAGGCTGTGCCCTGGAGAAATATCCCCTGCAGTGATGGTGCTTGGGGTTGCCAGGGCCCCCAAAGGGGAAATCCTGCACAGGAGCTTGTGCATGGGCTTTAAAATTTTAACCTTCACTGATCCTCCTCTGTGCCTGTTTTAAGCCCTGGAAATATAGCAGTTCCCTTTGCCCATACAATGACAATATAATACATACGTGCTCTGGGTATCCCTGCTGGAGCAGGGTGGGTGGATTGGATGATCTCTAAAGGTGCCTTCCAACCTTAACCATCCAGTGATTCTGTGACAAGAGGCCTAGCTGTGCTTCGTGTCAGGGATCAGGAGGGCTGAAGGGAACAGCAGAGCCCAGAAGTGTCAGCAGGATCATTACCTGAGGGGTTTATTTATTTAAGTGAATATATGATAAAAAAAAAAAAAAAACTTTCTATTATGCCAGCGTGCTCAGTAGCCTGACGTTCTCCTGGCAGGTGCTAGTGATGTTTTCTTCTAGGAAGTCTCTGTCTGCTCCCTCCTTGGTAGCTTTGCTGGGACTGGATCTCGTGCCAGCTAGTGCCCACTTCATGTGTTACAGTCACTGGGACAAAAAAACCTGCCTCTTGGGTCATGGTAACAGCTGCTCCCCGACCTCTGGATTTAGGAGTTTTGATCTTGGCAGGAGACACATTTCTTTGCTTCTGACACTGAAATCCTGCCCTGTTCTGCTGAACATATGCGCTGGACTGTATTTGAGTGGAAAGTCATGCTCTGGATGGCTGGGACATTCCAGTGGGTTGTTTTGTGCTTAATTTCCTAGAGCAGCGCGGGAGGAGCTCACTGTTTCCCAGACCTTCGAGTTGGAGTATTTGAAGAAATTGTACCAATGGGCATTGATCCGAAAAAAGTCTCTTACAAAGAAACTGGTAAGTGGATTTGAAGAATAAAACCTCACACCCAAGTGAGATGTAAGTGAGAATAAACTAGGTGCAACAAAAAACATTTCCTTCAGCACAGTGGCCAGGATATAGGAGAAGTAGTAATGGAAATCCATCTGGTTTTGGTAGACAGAGTTACTGGTACAGAGAATTCACTAGCCCAGGTTTTGGTTTGCCAAGTGTTTAGCTGCTTCAGGAAGTTCAGAATTAACCATCTGTTTTGTGTCAAACTGTAGTAGTTCAAGGGATATCAAACAAGGTAACTACCTTGTTCTGGGTTAGCAGTGCTGACCTTCAGTCAGGGAATTCATCCTAGGACATGTGCTAAAGGCAAGGTGAAATTATGCGTAATGATTGGGAGAGGCACTTCAGTGCAAGCATATATTTATGTTTGTTCTAAATATTTTGTAGAAGCTTGAGACAGCTCAGAGATGATACTGCATCCAGAGCTCTGATGCTCTGCCGTTGTAGTTAGCCTGCACTAAGAACCAAGCTGTACAGGGACTGCTTCCCTTGGAGTCGTCTCATGTATCCGGTGGATTTGGGAGGCCTGGAAGCCAGGAGCCATGCTCGTTTTTGAGAAAGTGCTACCGTTGCAATGACACTTGCAGCTGAGAAGATGCATGTTCCTAAACTGGATGCTACTGGCTTAGTTTTCCTTCTGTTGAAATTAAGCCTTGCTCCTCCCTGTTACACTGAAGCAGAACCAGGTTCTGATTCAGCTTCTGGCTGTCCCCCTGAGATGAGTTGCATCTGCTACCTGTGGTGCCTCAGCATGGGCTATGCCCGATAGCAAGTGCCTGGGTGTTCAGCTACTGTGAGGACACTTGCATAACTGCTTAGCAGAAGCACAACACGTAGTAGCAGAGCAGCTGTTCCTTGGGGCTTTCTTTTCACAGCAAGAACTGTGATGGTCATATATCTTTTTCAGCATTATTTACAATTTTTCCACGTATTTTTCAGCAGTCTGGTAAACTGTGAGCTGTCGCAGTTGGAGATCCGAGGAGAAGCTGAATCAGTGAGATCTGTAGTATTGCTCTGTAGCTCTGTTTAGCTCTCTTTCACTTTTTTTTCTTTCTTTTTCTCTTTTTTTCTTTTTTTCCTGTCCGTAAGGAATCCATCTATCCCCTCAGGAATTTCATAGAGAAGTGGAACAACATTTGTCTCAGGCCAGTCAAGGACAAAGTGATACTATTTTACTGGACTGTAGGAACTTCTATGAAAGTAAAATAGTAAGTGCTGTTTGTTTTTTACAGTGTGTTACACATGCTGGGGTGGGGGAAGCACTTTGCATTATGGATGTGTGACCTTACTGGGAAGAGGGGTTGATATTGAGGCATATATACAGTTTAGTTCAATAATATGAGGCTGAGGCAGTAAGGAGAGCAAGTGGTTAGTATATAGCCTGAATTAAAAGTACCATGACCTGTAAAGATATATTCTAGTATTTTTGCCTTTTCCTATATGTCGGAAAAAGGGGCATCTCTTTTTCCCTTTGCCACTGCTCTGTATTGTTGTGGTTCTTCCTTCCCCATGACAGTTCTGCCCTGCTCAGCTCCCTCTGTATGTTCAAATGAGGAGAATGCCCAGGAATCCTCCTATGGATTTTAACTGCTATTTTGATGCATAAATGTTGAGGAACTGCCTAAGGCAGCTGCGGTGAGCTGGTAATTCTGGCCTAGAAGACTGTTACTTCCTCTGGTTTGAGACACGGGCCTTGGCATGTAAGTCAGCCTGCATTCAGTTGCATGGCCATCTGTTGTCATTCCAGGGCCACTTCCAGGGCTGTCTGGCTCCAGATATCAGGAAATTCAGCTATTTCCCAAGCTATGTGGATGAAAACCTGGAGCTTTTTAGAAACAAGCGTGTCCTGATGTACTGCACGGGAGGGATCCGCTGTGAAAGAGGCTCTGCTTATCTACGGAGCAAGGTGAGATGTTGCTGTGAGAGCAAGTGTCAGGCATTGAAACTGCGTTGAGGGCAACTGGTTTTTTTGGGCCATTTTCTTGGCAAATGCTTGTTTAGCATAAACTGCTTGGTCTAGGGAGATGAATGCTTCTGATTGGGATTTTACTCATGCTGCCTGCCAAGGTAACAGGTTGTCTAACACAGCTGAGAATATATGAATGAACTACAGTAGTGATTGCTGTGCAGAAAGCTGCATAATCCATCTGCTGAGAAGAGATACCTGTAAGCTTGCCCTGCCCATTGCTGTGGCATTTTAGGAAGGCTTGGGAGCACTTTATAGTGCCTTCATGCCCTTGCCTATAAGCTGTGTCTAGGTCATGCTCTGTGGTTGCTCCTGCACAGCTTGAGCATTTCAGAGTGCTGGAGATGAAACAGTCAACACTTCACTCATGGGGTGGAATTAAACCACCACACTGCATTATCCATATCCCACTCTCCACCTCACTCTTTTTTTTTCCTGGGTTCTTCCCAGGGTATCTCTGATCCCTCAGAGAGTAAGGGATCAGCATGGATATATGTTCTCCAGAAATTATATCTTCATCCTTTTTCAGGTGCGCCATTGGGAAATTCCATTCCTGTCAGCAGAAGCTCACCACATAAAACCAGAATAATCAGTGGTTTGCAGAGGCTCAAAAGCATTTTCTGTGTGATGCAACGAACCCAGAGTAGCCAAGGAGGTTACTTGCCTCTGTTGAGATGTGCCATTACAGCGCATTTGAGCTCATGTCAGCAAGCTGCCCTTGTGAGAGCAGCCCATTAACCTTCCCTGGTATTAGCTGGAGTTGTGACGCACACGTTGCTCTTTGGTCACCGAGAAGCTGCTGCTTGTCCTTCATCCGTGGGGTTCTTGGCATTTCCTTGGGGCACTCAGGCCAGCTGCCACTGTTTCCTTGAGCTTTTTTTGCAAATATGCTTTAAACAGGCGGTGTGCAGAGAGGTCTACCAGCTCAAAGGTGGGATTCACAAGTACCTGGAAGAGTTCCCAGATGGATTCTACCGGGGGAAGCTGTTCGTGTTTGATGATCGTTACGCCATTTGTTCCAATGAAGATGTAATCTCAGGTAGATAATACAAATATGCAAGTGCAGAAGGCTAGGACTCTGTTGCAATGATTGCCACAGAGCTGTGTTGTCCAGGGGGAGACAAGCAGACCTGTGTGGTTAGTTCTTCCTCCTACTCACTTGGGTGTTTCAGTGCTGCCATTTTTTGTGGTGGCCATCAGCTGTGTAGCTTTAACATCTCAAACATAGAAGGGGGTCACTAAACAGGATTTCCTAGAGCTAGGGCAATAAAAAGACACATCCTCTGCAGAATGGATACTGTGTGTGGCCATGAGTCACTACTGCTTTTTTCACTCACTTGCTACCCATACTGCTGATCAGGCTGTGGTTGGCCAAGGGCCCAAAGCATTAAACAGTTCTGGTGTGAGCTGCTCCACAGAACCCTAACACAGACTGCCAGGCTTTGGGAAAGTCAATTCTACACTCAATTCTACAGCACTTAGGTGTTTAGTGTTTTAAGTGTTTCTGTAGCTTGTAGGATTCTAGTGACCTGAAATTGTCAAGAATATTGCACTGTCTGGGTTAACTCTTCAGCTATTTCAACTGAAATATTGTCAATGTCTTTTCAGTTGCCAGGTACAAATAGAAGAAATTTGTCTCTAGCCTTTTTTCAGGAATCAGTCCTTTTTTTTATTATTATTTTTTCTTTTCCCCCTGAGCAGTTAGCTAACTTCTTGAGCATAACCTCCCATTCCTCTTTTCCATTTACCATATTCATCCTGAAGGTACCTGGCTTGGCACAAAAAAAGAGCATTCTCTTCTGTCTCAAGGCCGTCCCTACAGAAGTATCCAAGGGAAAGTGTTGGGGCAAGCATCTTCTCGATGGTACAGCTGAATTATGAAAAAAAGTGTTGTGTTAAAGGTTAAATCCTGCCTGGTAACTGGAAGGACTGTGCTAGGATTGCAGATGACCCCCCCATATACACAGGCCATTGCTGTCAGATGGAAGCGATCTCAGGATCCACTGTTTCCTCCATAGAGCCTGTCCTGAGAGGCAGTTTGTCCTAAGCTTTGACATCAAAACCGAAGTTCATTTAAAAACGAGCCAGGTTCTGGAACACCAGGCTAGAGCAGGGATAAAATACCTCGAAGGCGACGTTAGACGATGTTAGACGATGTCCCTTGAGTGAGAGGTTGTAGCAAAGGGGGACAGGCGGGTGCGACGTGGGTGCTCATTGTGCTTCCCCTCTGTGCAGCGTGCAGGTACTGCGGGGCGCTGTGGGACCAGTACAAACTCTGCTCCAGCCAGCACTGCCGGCAGCTCGTCCTGACGTGTCCCAGCTGCCGCGAGAAGGGGCTCACAGCTTGCTGTCCTCCTTGCCAGGAGAAGGAGCTCGAGGTGGCCTCCGGACAGGCGCTTAAGGAGGAGTGTGACTGTACAAGGAGACGACCAAGGGTACCCATTGAACGAGTTTCACAAAGCACACTGGATGCTGAAAAGGATTAAGCTGTTTGTTTAGCTAGTTTTGCATCGGACACCTACTTCTAAAACCAGATCCTTCTCCATTACTGCATAGGTTTGGGTATCACAATAGTTTGTTGGCTTGAAAAGTCTTGCTCTGACCCTGTATTTATATTGAGTCTGCCCTGAAAACTGTCCATTGCTTTGGTGTAAATTACCACAGTGTACAGTGGATAATACTGTACCATTTTTCTCCCTGTGTGCAGTCTTGCACTCCTGTCTTGGGGAGGAAGCAGAAGAACAGTGTATGTGTTGGGGACACAGCTGTCTATAGTTTGAAAGAAACCAAAGAGACTGAAGAACAATTCCCTGCTGCTCCCCTTTTAATTTATAGGTGTGCACGTGTGGAGATGTATCTGTCTGACTTCTCCATTGATCAAGCAGCTTCACTAGCTAGTGATAGGGTGATGAAGACAACATATGTTTTAATTCCTGAGCACATGAATAGGTTAGACTTGCTTTTCATTGGAGTGAAGCAATATGTCATTGACTTGACTCCTGTGTAAAACCAGCTAAAGGCAGGGCGAGGACTCCTGTCTTAACTGGAGTGGCGTTGGAGGAGGCATCTTGCCCACAGCAGAAATAACCCTCGTTAAGATGCTCTGCCTTCCAGGGAACTGTTGATATCCCTCAGCCTGTCAGTATTTGAATTATCCAGGGCTCAGCTCTGCTTGCACTAAAAAAAAAAAAAAAATCAACAGCTTGAAGTGTGTTGAAATTGAGACACCAGAGGAGAGGACAGAGACTGCCAAAATACCCGTGTTAGAGCACTGGAGGTGCGTGCTGGCATCTGTGCATAAATGCCCATGACAGCTATGAGGGCACTGCCAGGTCATTTATCCAGGCAAATAATCCATGCTTTGGGGAGCCTTTGTTCACAGAGTTTTTAAAAGCTGTAAGATGTTAGCGCATTCTGCAGCTTCTCTTGGTGGGGAAATTGTGTCTGACTTGGAATCTGCACCACACAAGCTCAAAATACTGCTTTGTGTGCCTGGTGCTGTAGGACGTACCCAAAGGCTTTATTAATAGTGTGGGTGATGTGTCATGATAGAAGAAGTCTTTGAAACTTATTCTCATTTTTGGTACTAAGGCATTAGTCATTAGGGAAGGAAAAACAGTTACTTTTTTATTATCTTCTTAGCAGCTGCTTTTAAAGACAGGAAAACAATTTACTCAGGCTCCCGCAGTTGCTCGGTGTCAGTTAGGACAATGTTTTTTACTACAGGTTGTAACCTTCTTCCACAGGGCTACAAACTCAGCCCAGTCTCACTGCTGACTGTACAGGCAGCTCAGGAGAGGGATACTGCTTCCACTAAAGCCATTGCCAGGCATTTCTTCTTCTTCCAGTGCTGCCAGCATGAGTGGCTGATCAGTAGTGTTCTTCATAACGGTACCTTTCATGAAACAAGACTTGAAAACTAACCAATGTGAACGCTGGGGATCTTCCCGGGATGACATTTAAAAACAGTAATTCTCAGTGTGATCCAGACCTGGGAAGCAATTAGGAAACTCCCAGCAGGAGGCATCTCCAGCAGAAGATGTGGCAGGATCCAGGCTGCCCTGGCATGTTGCTTCCCGAGCCCCGCGATCCAGCTTCCCTGTGCGCTTCGGAGAGCTGGAATGTTTGTGGTAAGCTGTGCATGGTGACCCATGCAAGCTCCACGTGTGCGCCTGGACCCAGCCCTGAAGGAAGGGCCCCTGTTTGCATGTTGTGCTGCATCCTTTCCCAGATATTGGGCTAAAAAGCCCACCGTTCTGTAATTTAACCTATCAGTGAGGCTGCAACACTGTAATCCTTTTGAGAGGCTGTTTTTATATAATTTCTCAGTAAAGAACGGCAGGAAGCTAGGCTACATCTTGCATGCAAGGGTCTGAAATCAGTGAGGTGGTGGGTGACCCTCACCGCTTGCATCG